TTTTTGAAACCCACCACTGGCGCAATCCTAAAGATTTTTTTACCTAAAAGTACATTGGATGAGATTGAAGTCTTTAGTTCATCTAAATTGCACCATTCCCGAGACCAAAATAGGATTCAAACAGGCCATACTGTATTTATCACTAAATTAAGAAAAGGAAGGTAATCTGGTTAAGATTGAGCTTCTATTAGGATAAGGAATGAATGAAGAAATCCATATAGATACTTTATAGACAGAAAATATATTATCTACTGCCCCAATTCCATTTACCTTTTCAGAGTAGCCAAACATACCTATTTGCAGGTAGCTTTCCGATTGATGAGTCTTTAAGGGGAATCGCTTCTCCGTCATGTGATCCAAACATGCGGGCTGGCTTCCACTTTTTTCTTTGTTTCTGAAACAAGGAAGCAATGGGCACAATGCAGTTCAACTTTTGGGGGGAATCTGTCTTCGTCCCTCTGCATTTGATCTATTTTCTCTAATGCTCCACTGAGCTTTATTGGGTTCAAGGGAAATGCAAAGTTTCGAAGAGAGAGAAATATTGCTTTTCAGAGGCCTGTAGCAAACCTGCCTTTCAAAGCATGCCTGGATTGTTCAGGTGAGACCATACCATGTACAGGAAGTGGATGCTCCTCTGGGAGCAAGTAAAAAGAATTCTTACGGCTTCAAAATTTAGAAAAGTTAACAGCATGCTGGAAATCCCTGATCTAAAGTTAATGTTAGCCTTTTCTAATGTTGGACTTAGTCTTGACCAGTGTTTCTAAAGCTTGGGAACTTTAAAAAGTGTATCAGCTTCTGTCAGAGATTGCTGCAGAAATCAAATCCAGAAAGCATACACAGGTAACTGATTCAGCAGGATTCATTAAGTTCTTTTTATATATAATATAACACATGAAACATATATACAATATCAAGAGCAGGTTCTTCCAAGATGGTAGAGAGAAGAGATTGGTTTCAGTTTCAGCAGCAGACTAGTTTCAGTTTCAGTTCTAAGAGCTTAGCACAGCTAAGCCATGCCTAGGCTCCTTACTGTCTCCGCTCCCATTGGCTGACTTTGTTACTAAGCTCCATTCATTGGCTGACCTTGTTACCATGTCTCTGCCAGTCATGAATTCTCAGACAACTTCAACTTCCAGAATCTTGGGAGTTGAAGTCCACATTTCTTGACGTTCCCAAAGTTAAGAAACACGGGTCTAAATGGACAAAGACTGGATAAGTCTGTCTTTAATATTTTATTTTTGTTTAACTTCTGTGCAACAGAAACAAAATGGTGCAAAGCTTTTAAGAAATCAAGCTCTCCCTGAAGCTTTTGTTATAAGCAGTCTTGTTGGCATTTATCAAACATCTCACAACGTACAATAAACTAATCAACCCTTTCTGAGCTCAGCCTGCTTGTGAACCCATGCCATTGGTGTCTCAGAAGATTGGAATAATGGAATAAAGTATGGTTCAATTAGCTAGGACAACTGGTATGAATGAACCCTACTGTAGTATCATTCTCAAACTTCAGAGGTTGGGTCAGAATATCAAAATTGGTCTGCTTGCCCAATTATTTAAGGCAACTTAACCAAAGAACAAAAATGTTCTGCCCTGGGCAATGAGGTTCTGCTCGGGCAGCCAGTTAACTCCACGCTTAGGAATAGCAGTTCATTGTTAAGATTCTTCTGACTTTCCATGATCTGTCCCATCACGTAGTGTAAAAAGATGATGATTTTATCCCCATGCTGAGTGGAGATTTTGAATGCTACTATTCCAGTTCACAAAGGCACTTAAACTCCCCGGCTATAAACTTTGCATGTGGGCAAGATGCCCCGGTAGCCAATCAGAAACAGAGATGTGATCACATGTCATGGAACTACATTTCCCATAAGGCAGTCTCTGTCTGCATCTCCCATGAGGTAGTTTCTTAAAGGAGACATTTCTTAATTCCTACACTAGCTATATACTGCTGGGGCAGCACATCAATCATAATTACATGTAGGCATGATTGTGCTCAGATCGTCATAGAAAGTCTCATAAAGAATAAAATTAACTCCTTATTTTATAATTGGGCCTATAAGATATCGTGGTCTAGCCAACAACTGTAGACTTTCTTGATGTTTTTCTTTCCATATATAGCAATAGCAATAGCAGTAGACTTATATACCACTTCATAGGGCTTTGAGCNACCGGTAAGATCTGGACCAATTGAGGTGCTCCAAGCTGTAAACCATTGTATCTTCAGCTGACTGTTATCTGCAGTTCAGCGGTTCTAATCTCACCCACCTCGGAAAGATGGAAGGCTGAGTCAACCTTGAGCCGGTGAGATTTGAACCGCCGAACTGCAGATAACAGTCAGCTGAAGATACAATGGTTTACAGCTTGGAGCACCTCAATTGGTCCAGATCTTACCGGTCAGGCAGAAACAACAGGAGAAAGACAGTCCTCCACCTAACCACCTCCTAATACTTGGAATAATCCAGTATGTTTCATTTTTCCACCCAATGTTCCTTTGTTCCAACTGCATAAATCTTAAAAGAGGGATTCCTGTAGCTTGCCTCATTAAAACCTGAAACTGTTGTAAGTACATGAAGTTTTGGCAGGATTTGGTTCTACAGATAAGCAGGGAGAACACAAATTCCGGGATTCCCTAAAAACGAGACCAAAGGGAACACACCTGCCGCGGAATCCGCCCATGATACCACGCGTGGCTCCGCAAATCGTCACTGCTCATCTGCAACTCTTCTTCCAGCTCCTTCTTCAGTTTCTCGGGGGAACTGTCCATCACTTGCTTCTCCTTTAAAAACTGCAAGAGAGAAGAAGAAGGGAGGCTTGATTATGTCGAATCAGGCCTTGAAACAAAAAGAAAAACCTTAACCTAGCCAGAAACTTTCATTTTGACACACATGTCAAGAGGTCTGGAGTTGCCAGCATTCTGCCAGCCTTTGATCCTTAAGGAGCATTTGCTAAAACTTCTGCTGGGTGAGCAACTTAGGTAATAATTACTTGCGCAGGGGTGGATCACTCATGTCCCACCTGGATGTTTTGGGATAAGCATGAGAGTGTTCTGCTGGTCATTTATGTCCCTTCCTACACGGAATGCAGAAAGAAAATAAAAGAGGAAATGCACAGGAGGAAGAGCTGGGCTGAAGCAGAAGGTTCAAGTTTAAACCTGTTGATCAGGGATGGAACATTTACACCAAGCTCGCCCAACATACACATTTTGGTTGTGGAATTAATTCATTTTCTAACTTTGCATAAACCATCCTTAGCCAATGTTCCCAGGTTAGACTCAGCTTTCCAAAACACCTCAAGGTATAACCAAGTGTCACATATTATGCAAATGCACCTGGAAGTTTGTGCGAACTGGTTTAAAGAGGAGCAAAGTGGGAGGCACCATTTACGTTTTGTTATAAGAGTTGTGATCAATGCATTTNAAGCAGTGTTTCCCAAACTTGGCAACTTTAAGACTTGTGGACTTCAACTCCCAGAGTTCTCCAGCCAGAAGAGCTAGCTGGAGAATTCTGGGAGTTGAAGTCCACAAGTCTTAAAGTTGCCAAGTTTGGGAACCACTGAACTAAGGGGACATGGCACAGTCACCTGTTGCAATACCTGCCCTTTAGAATGGTGCTGACCCTGCTGGCTTTCCATAACTCTTAAAAAAAGTTGGGGATTCTTTTTTTCCTTCCCAGGCCTATATACCAAATAGTTTGGGTTGTTTTGAATAGTCTGAGTTTGGCTTGAGTTTGTGTTTTTTCATGCTATGCTTTTTCAGCCTGTATGTTTATTGTTTTTATACAGATATAAAATTTGCTTAAATAAAAAGGGGATATTTTTAAAAAATGCAGCGTGGGTTACAAAACGTTAAAAATAGGTTCCAGAATGATTCATATTTGTTTAACAAACATTCAGCAAAAACAGTAAATCATATCATAGTTTATTGCATAGTCAGCTGGATGTTCAGACTGAATTTGGCATTTTTATTCACTTACCTGGCTGTTCCAGCAGGCCTTGGGGCTGTTGAGTTGTGCCAGCCCCACTTCAGGTTTGTGACTGTTGTGCAATTTTAAACTGTTGTTTTGTTTTATTTTTTTATATCCCCCCCTCCCTTTTATTGTAAGCCGCCCTGAGTCTCTTTTGAGTGTGGGCGGCATACAAAATTTAATAAATAAATAAAATAAATACCTGGGATAGGCAGATGTGGAAGTTTGATGGCATTTAGAGGTATCATCGCAGGATGTAAGCTGTTCTGAGTAAAACCACCTTTTGCAATTGATCGATGGTGAATTTGTCAATGCCAATCATTACTATTATCCAGTCCCTCAGCTTTTCGGTATTAAGATTTCTGCCAGACTTTAATTTAGATATTCTTTCCTTTCTGGCTCTTAATTTTCATTTCCTCTGCCTCATGCAAACATTTATTAGCTACTGTGTTTGACGCTTACAAAAAGATTAAGCCTATTTCTCACAAGACAAACTCAGATTACTTTATAAATATATAAGACATTTCAAACTCCCGTATCTGGGGAGAATCATAATTCTGATTCTGTTAATTCTGAAATCAAGAGAAAGGTTAGAATGCAAGAATGTTTTGCAAAAACAATCCCCCATCAACAGGAATCCCTACCCTACCCTAACATATAGAGCAAGCAAACTGGACTAATTATGGTAAATTCCATTTCTTGAAGAAAAGATATGCTCTCTTTCACAGTAATCACTTCTGTAATATTTGGTAATATGCTACCTCCATCACTCTGGAGTGCCCAGAGAGCATTCCATGAGGTTTAACAATCACGTAGATCATTTTGCTTTCAACTGAGATGGGAGATTTCCTGTTGTGTTTTCAATCTCAGTCAACTATCGGTATGTACGGCAGCTATTACCAGGGAGACTCTACACTGCAATAAAATTGTTAATCTCCGAGGCTGCATAAGCACTCTTAACCTTCTGACTGCTACAAAATCAGCATTAATATTCTTCTGGAATTATTCGGGGGACGCATATTAATTGAGAAAAGAAAACAATGTGGGTTCAGAACACAATGAGGTTTAAACATGCCAGTGCTAATAAATTGTAAAGCTTTGATAATGTTAAGCAAGCTGATGCCTTCTATCGTGTTTTCCCCAAAATAAGACCTGGGGTTATATTATATCCAAAAGATGCATTAGGGATTATTTTCTGGTTAGGTCCAGTTTTGGGGGAATTATGGTACTAAATGCGTCCGTCTGGCTGACAATCTTAACTGGAGCTTATTTTTGGGATAGAGTTTATATTATGAGCATTCTGAAAAATCATGCTAGGGTGCTAATTTTAGGGGAAACACGGTAGATACTTGGAAGTATAATTCCTGTAATACTGGCAATGGCTGTAGTCCATATCATTTTGAGGACAACAGATTATTGATAACTGATGTAGTTTGACAGTACTAACAGTGACAATTTGATAGGTAACCCAATCCCCTCATGATGTCCATTAGGATCAAACAATCCTTGGAGTTAATTGCACAAACACAATTACCATACATATATTTCAAAACTACGAATTGTACCTACAGAAGGATGAAGGCAGTTGCTAGAGCAAACCCTCCTTGTGGTAGACTTAATCTTAGAATGCAGTATTGCTGGCTAATTCTGCCCACAGTCTGGAATTCGATCCTGATGGGCTCAAGGTTGACTCAGCCTTCCATCCTTCCAAGGTTGGTAAAATGAGGACCCAGATTATTGGAGGCAATATGCTGACTTTGAAAACTCTGTTACAGCCTGCTGTAGAAGGGCTGTAAAGCATTATGGGGTGGTATACAAACCTATAGGTTTTGCTAACCAAAACTCTCCCTCTTGAATTGAGAAGTTCAGTGAATCCAATTTCTAACGCATCTTCCAGAAGACATCTGAACCACAGCAGGGTGAGAGCATTAAATGTTTTGTCCTGGGCTCACAGTGCTATTTTTTGTTCTTTATATCTCACATTTTTAAAACTGCACATTTTCCACACATAAAATATTAAAAACATAAACACCATATTTAAAAGTTAAGAAGAGGCAACTGATATTAAAAATTAATTAAAAGACCACTCACAGCTTTAAATGATCTTTAGATCACCTGCAGGGACTCATTTGAAATGTTAAAAACATAAAATCAATATAGGTTTTGCTCTGACTGCCACCAACGGGCAATCTTTTATTTTGGAAACTCCAAAATATGGGATTGGATCTAGCTGAATCAGAGCAGATTCATTAAATCAGTGAAATTTAAATTGCTATATAAGTATAATTAAATACGATTCTAGACTATTGTGAACAATATCCTTTCACTGGTTTCTTCACAGTTCTTTCAGTAGCTTCTTTGCCTGTATCTAACACACTGACTTGCAACATGAAATACTATTTTAATTGTTTTTCCTTTTTTTTTTAACCAGGCAACCTTTAATTATCAGACTTTGCAAGATTGATTCCCCAAGGAGTAGTTATAACTAAGAAGATTTGCATTTTGATTACTAGCTCATGCTGTTTTAGTTGCCCAGGATTAAAATAGTAACAGCTCTTTCCACTTCAGGGACCAAAGTGCGTATAGGTGTCATGATAAAAACCAGGTTGAGAAGAGAAATGTAGTTTATTGCTTTTAACTATCTTACAAAATCCCTAAAACATTAAACATTTTTCAAATGTCAGTACTATTATTTTCAGCCCGAATTAAGCTATTTCTCTAACCAGTTGTGTGTATAATGTACCATTGGAAAAGCAAACAGCAATCAGGACAACTTATGCAAGTTAAAATATATTGGCCTATTTTGATATAACAGCATTTAGTGTTAACGTTTTCAAATAATTTGGAAGTCTTTTCTCTAGCAAAAGTTTAGCAGAGAACAGAAAAGGGAATCTCCAAATGATTCATAACAAATGCATGAGAGATAAAACCATGCTTGTTTCTTTTAAAGAAAGTGAATTAGCATAAAATATGTAAACCCAGACAACAAATTCTGTGGTTATGTGGCAGTTTCGTCAAACCCCCCCCTAAAAAACCCACTGAAAAATGACAAAATCGACAGCAGAACACATGGTGAGTATCGGAGGTGGATAACTACCAATAACTCAGACATATTTCCAGCCATTCTCCGCTGAGGAACAGGTCAGTACATCTTACCCCAGGCCTTATGAAAGCACAAAAGAATCAGGGCCATTCAGACCCCAGGGAGCACAATGTCTACAGGACAGGCACATCTAACAAGAAGGTGCATCTTCTCAATCCCACAAGATTTATTTTATGTATTTATTTATTTTATTAATTAGACTTATATACCGCTTCATAGGGCTTTCAGCCCT